TGTTCTGTTTTCTGTGATATATCTCAGACTTTCAGTTGCGCGCTACTAAAAAGACGCGTTGCCATGGAAACTAGGGGTGGGCGGATCGATCCCAAAATATCGATACTTCCGATATTACGTTACGTTTCAAAATATCGATACTAGAGCTAATAGGATCGATACTTTTATACTTCTTTTTTCCGTCTCCTCTACTCGTCAATTTCTTCAAAAAACTATGTGCAGACGAACACAAGTATATGCTCTTTTCTTCTCTCTCCACTGCTGTCCTCCTCTCCTGGAGGCTCGCGCACGCGCAGCGCGCTCCCTGCCTGATCGCCGATTATCAAGCTGACTGACAGCAGCCAGCAGGGCAGGACAGCAGCAGCCAGCGACTCGCGAGTGCAACACACACACGCGCATGATGGCTGAGAGAAAGAGGAGCGTTGCGTTGTGTGTGGAGCTATTTCACAACTGGCAATTCAAACTTAGCGAACTGTGATGTGTGCAAGAAGACAGTTCGCTACTCTGGCCACTTTGTATTGTTATTTTTCATGTTTGCACTGTCCTGTCTTTAATCATGAAAATGAATTCAGATTTAGTCTATTTATGATGATTTCAGCTCAAAAATCATGTCATGCAGCTCCCCCCTATATGAAAGTACATAAGACGCTTTTTATTTAAAAAAGTATCGGTATCGATATCGGTATCGGCGATACTGGCCCTGAAATACTTGGTATCGGATCGAATCCAGATTTTGTGGTATCGCCCACCCCTAATGGAAACCAAACAATGGTGTAGCTGTATTAAAGTCTGAGTGGAAATAGTCCTGAGTAAATCTGATTTTGTCAGAAATCGGGAGAAATGCGGGAGAAATATGACCCCGGGAGGAAACCGGGAGAGGGCAATGGAAAATCGGGAGGGTTGGCAAGTATGACACACACACACATACATATACACATACACACCCACACACAACCACACAAAGACACACACCCTTGGTAATGTTTAGAAGAGCCTCTCCTTGTTGCAGGGCAATGCAAATATTTTCCAATAGACTTGCTTTGAAATATTTCTTACTTAAACTATGCTACTTAGTAATCCTTATTATAATGCATAAAAAAATGTGGGTATATAATCAATGATTGTACAGTGAGTATGTCATGCTGTAAACAAATGTACATTTGCACTTTTCAATGTATGTTATTATTATTATTTTATTTATTTTATTTTATTTGTATATATCTATGTGATGATGAGCGCTGCTTGATAGTATAACGGGAAAACAGCAACCGAATGTTGCATGTCCAAATTAGGAATTATGAAATAGTACATTTCGGGGGTAAAGTGTAACAATTTCCTTTTTCTCATCCAAATGTAACCTGCCGTGGAGATGCAAATACTCTGCTTTCTGCTGAACATTTTTAGAATATCTGGAACAGAGTGCGTCACTGGTGCAGATAAAAAAAAGAAAAAGAATCAGGAGTGAGAATGTAATGTAGAAAATGTGTGAAATGTGCTGGAAGGAAGGCGGATTAACAAGAGACAAATGTATAATTATGTAGCTGAAGAGAGTGGCGGTCTCTTTAGAAACAGACTGGAGAGAGAGCAGTGATCGCTGATCTGCTTCACTGTTCAGCAGGTGGAGTCCTGGTGACGTCTGGATTCTGTCATTAATAGCAATAGTTAACATTGTGATATAGTTATACCTCCCACTGCTGTGGCATCAGTCACATGTTTTTTACTGAGAGCTTTGATTTGAGTCTTTTTTGTTCCTAACAGTTTTATTATGTGCAATAACCATCCAATGGTGTTTTCATGAAGGGAATCATGCAGTCTGTCTCTTTCTCATCTTTGGTTATGTTTTTTTTTAGGTTTAATTAGAGGGACAGAAGCAAAACAATAATATTAAAACGTACTGTAAACGGTTCTGAGTAAGCTGAAACTAGTAGTAATATTTTGCCACTTTAATGTCCTACTTTGTCAAAGTTCTCAAGTTAGTGCAGGAAAATGTATACAAGTTGCATAAAGTGACTTTTAGGGCCATTACAGCAGATATGTGTTTTATTCTTCCACAAATTACACGAAAAGCTCAAGTGTTGGTAGCCGACCTGCAAGGATGACTTTGCATGAGAAAGATAAAGAGCTCTAACCCTGGAGAAAAGCAAGGATAATTAGCAGCGGCGTTGCAGTCATTAACGAGTCTGGGAACGTCTCGGCCTCAGGTCTTAAGGACTGTGGTACCAAAGAAGAACACAAATTATCCTTCCTCTGCTGTGAAATGTGAAAAGAAGAGGGTTCATCTCTCAGCAAATGTTCTCATTACGTTTCTGGCCAAAGAATTAGTTCTGAAAAGTCGCCCACAATGTTCGTAGTTATTTAAATCCAACTGGATTTTCCTGCTAATTAGATTTTCAATCTATCCTGAAATTGTTTCTTAAGATTTTCCATTGTCATTTCTAGGTCATAAAAGGACTGACAAATATGATTTAGCTCCAGTGGAGAAAATCACATGTGAGCAGTATTGTGGAAGTGTGCAGGATGCAGCTGATGAGCGTATGTTCGATGCTTTTTCACACTTTGAATGATCATGTCACTGTTTCACCTGTTTGCCATAATAAGCCACCTGACAGTGCACTCTAACATGCATGGTTAATGATTATATGCAGGCTAACCCTACAGAACGTTTCGATGGTCTGGTTGAATATAAGTGTTGGAAGGCTGTTTAACACTGACTGTCTTTTTTATTTTTGTTTTATATATTTTGTTTATCATTTACAGATTAACTAATGGTTTCATAACAAAAAAAATGCAAGTTCTCTATACTGAACGCTGTTCCAAGGATTATAATAAAGATCATTTATAACCTTTGCCCTTGCTCAGTGAGATGATTCGCTCAAACATCAGACTGAATTCATTTGTGAGGATATACAAGGCCACAAAGATAATTAAGTGAATATCTATTTGGTAATTTGTTGTTTGGTCAATCATATATCACAAGTGTATAGGCACTACTTAATTACAGTTTCTCCATACACACAGGTTATTAGGGCACTGATGTTACTTGTTAGATTACATGTTACTTGTTAGATGCTTTTATCCAAAGCAACTTACATACTCAATACTGTGGGTAATCCCCACAGGAGCAATTTGGGGTGAAGTGTCTCAGGGACACAACGACATGCTGCCTGCAGTGGGACTCGAACTTGCTATCCTCTGATTCAAAGATCAGCGCACTAACCCACTGCGCCACACGCCTCCTCGTACTATGATGTACTGTGGAATTTAGGGGCCTTTAATTCTCATTTTTAGGTTCATATTTGTATTTTGTGCCAAGTCAAAACATTGCTTATTTTTTCTCTCACTGCCTTTGCTGAAGCACCTCTTTTCACCCTCTGTCTAAAACCAGAAGCTTGGTTGGGGTTTAACGTATTAATATCAAAACATCTCTTTTATTACAGCAAATAACTCTCACTTTATAATGTAAGCGCTATTCTTGTCAATTGAATTAAACGAACCAAATTTTATTATAAATATTCTTTTAAAAAAAAAGGAAAGCTGGGTGTCAGTATCTCCAAAAACCAGAAAGCTCACTTATTTAAAGCATTTTCATCCCGAAAGGCACCATTGTCCTTATGATTGCAAAAGTAGCAAACACAATGCCGCATAACGAGAGGGATGTACTTCTGCAAATGTGCATAATGCCTCTATTATAGTGGTGAAGCAGTGTATTCAAAAATAACTTATATTCATCATTACACGAGGAAGCGGAGAGCAGGTTACAAAAGAAAGGCAATGGGACTTAGAAAGATTTGATTGATTTTTTAATCACATTGCTGTTCTCTACACTCTCACAGGAGCTTCATATAAAAAGACAGATTGGGTCATGTTAGGACACTAGCTTTCTGACTTAAACCACCATCTATTGTTGCAGAAAGATTTGGGGAGATAAAATGGCAATAGCTAAATTGAAAACTTCAAATAAGTCGTTATGGATTTATGTATCCATGGCTCTTATTCAGACTCAGAACCCATACGGTCTTATTAATATCTTAATCTTCATTAAGCTGTGTATTATGCCCTAATTAATGTTGTCAGTGAAAGTCATTGTGGAGGTCACCTTCTGTTCAAAGCCTGTTTATTTGTTTTCCTCTGCTTGATTGGCTTGTAGACAAGAGGGACCCCTACTGGCAAGAAGTGTATACTATCCATCTTGAAAATAATACAGGACTTCATCAAGTTGTCAAAGAAAGGGCCTAAGCAGTATGTGTGAGGGTGAATATGTCAAATGTAATGTATTGGCCTGGTTTTATTTATCTAAAGATTGTTCCAGAGTAGTGAACACACTCGTAGAGACATATCAGGTCTGAGAAAATAATAATAATGGCCACTTCTTATTTTCTTGTCACCTATCTTTCTGTTTGGTATGTGACTGTATCACCATTGTATTGCCAAGCCTGGTTCTCTCTATATGTCCGTTTCCAATTTTCAAGGTGGACCAGCTTTTGGACAGATTAAAGATATTGAATTGACTATCATTGAAATGTTGTTAAAGAAATGTACATTTGTTTCCCACAAATGATTAATTACCCTTTCATCAAATGTTGCCCATTTTCTTTGCAAAGGACCCCAGTATTTAATGTATACAAGGGTAAATGGAAGTTTGCAAGTGTGTTGAAAAATAGCGTTTACTTATCACATATCAAAAATATCACAGATTATAATAATAATAATAATAATAATAATTATTATTATTATTATTATTATATATTTGTCATCCAAAGAAAGAAAGAAAAGGAAGGATTGATTAAAAGATATATTGAGATATATGTGAATAAATCGCAGTGAACAAAGAGTAAAAACCCTTAAAAACATGGATGTTCATAGAGAGAAATCCCCTGCTTCTTTTTTCCAGGTTGGTTTTACGACTTCCGGTCTTCCGGTAGGTTGAACGAGCTTCATCTTGCTGTTTAAGTCGTCTTTGTTGTGGACCGGCATTTTCCCACAACACCCTGCTGCTGCTCTCACAGATGACGAAAATGGCGGACAACGCATCATCGGTAGGTTTTCGAGCGATATTATTTTATTTTAGAGCCATTGACCACTTTCAGGTTGCAAATTAACGTGTTATTTCTGACAGGTGGATATCGTTGAGGGCTGCCGCCTCCCCGTTCTTCGTAAAAACCAGGAACACGAAGACGAATGGCGTAAGTATTGTGCGGTTGTTTTCCCGTGCTAAGCTAGCTAATGCTAACTAGCGGAGCTCAGCTGTTGTTATCAAACGGCCTCAGTCGGAGCGCTGTAAACACACGGGGCACACATGTCGCTTTGCAATGTGGCTCTAGTTAACTTAAATACTTGCCAGAGCCACTAGTAAATCCGTATTATACTAGCTAGCTAGCTCCCAGGGACATTTTTATAAAATACTTTGTTGGGAAAGACTTACTTGAGCGAAATCCGCCTGACAGCAGGCTGTTGTTTACAAATGTAAAACGGATTTTTCAGGTGATGTGTTTGTTTTTTTGAATGCAGTTTGGCTCACTCAAAAGAGTTTAAGTGCTCTTATTTGTTATGATCGGTCGAAAGATGAGAAAAGTTAGAGCCACATAAAAATCAGTCTGGCATTTCAGTAACACTTTCTCAGTCAACTGTCATTGTTAAGCTTCAGAAACACCTCAGCAAAACACAAAGAAATACACACGATTTGACCCTTTGACACAAGTTTCAACCTCATGTTGAAGTTTGTTTTTGGCAGTGCTTGTCAAACGTTTTTAGCTTAATGTTGTGTTTACTTCCCCCTGTTACAGTTTGCATGTGTCTAGATGAGCATTGGGATTTATCATCTTATTTTTATTTAAATGAATGTATAATAGAGGTATAACTATCCACTCATATGCAATCTAAAAGTTTAAAACAAGAATATGTCATACATCATTTGTATCCCCTTCTTAATTGAATGTTTTTGCAATCAAATATATGATAATGGCCATACCACTGACCCGTAGGTATGGTAGGACAATGTTCAACAACATAAAACTCACTTAAAACCATATTGTTCAACACACCGTACGGTGTGTTGAACAATATGGAATTGGAACAAATGCATCCAAACAGACAAACGAGTTAAGCTGGGTGTGCAGATACATTACAATACAATTTAATTTGCCTGTTTTCCATACAAGATTTTATCAAGAGCAAGGGTCCATCATAACCATAGATGTATGTAAATTAGGCTAAGTCTTCTTTTTTATATTTCAATTATTTCCGCAGTATTTTTAGTACCTTGTGTCGCCTTAGATCTATTTCACAGTAAGGAATTGTTGTTAAGCATGATGGTAGATCCATAATGTTTTAGCAGCTATTTCATTGAAGTCTATCACAATCATTTTGTTAATTGAAATAACCTTTGTTTTATTTGACATATCTCCTTTTTCCTCGCAGCATTGGCTGAAATTCTAAGCGTGAAGGAAGTCTCCTCGAGAAAGCTTTACTATGTTCACTACATTGACTGTGAGTATAGCTTGTGTCACTTCTTGTTTTTTCTGAGGAACTTTACTTGTAACAGTCATTTTACAGACTCAATGAAATTACACTGACAGCTAATGCCTTCTTGTTTGCGTTATAAGTCAACAAGCGCCTGGATGAGTGGGTCACAGGAGACCGGCTGGACATGAAGAAGCTTCAGTTCCCAAAGAAAGAAGCTAAAACGCCAACCAAGAACGGTCTTCCAGGATCCCGCCCCGGTTCCCCAGAGAGAGACGTGGTAAGCCCGTGCTCTGCCACATGTTGATCTCATACCCTGAACCATTTCATCCCAGTGTTTCCGCCAGACCAGGGCTGAGAGGGCATCCACCCCGAGAGCGCGGGGGGAGGGGGCACGTCACGTTTCTTTTCCATCACAGGAACGCGCTTTGCTGGCGGTGAAAATGATCCCACTAGACTCCTTTACCCCTCCAACAGAGGGGTGTCCTTGTCCTTTTTCCTTTTCGTCATTTCAAGCGATAAAAAGTCTCGATCTTCTCTCAAATTATTATTATTTTTTTACGCCCTCGGCTCGAGTTCAGGGCGTTCCGAGCTGAATAACACCGTCAAATGACAGCAAGATGCCCCCCTGGCGGAAACGCTGTTTCATCACCAACTCAGCTTTGGTCAGCATCTTATTTACCATTGTGAGGACACTAGTTCATACATTGGCCTTCATTTTACATCCCAGCATGTTTGACGACCAACACTGAGAAGTATTCAAACCTGTGGATGCTATTGCTGTTAGAAAAGTGCAATTCTCACAGAGTTGAGTTAATGTCAATCTCAATCACTGAGTTATAAGTAATTCTAAGTGGGTATTACTATCTGTGTGTTGTAGATGGAAATACATGTATATTCGTATTCACCTTTAGCTACTAGAGAAAACACAGACAAAAAGTAACTGTTTTTTACAAGTTAATTGTTTTAACTGGTGGTTGGTTTGCAAAAACTCAGTCTACATATCTACGAATTATTAGCAAATATGTGGTCGTTTTAGTATAAAAATGTTCCGTCAATACATGATGCATTTGATAGTTGTTGTCTTTTATTTTTAACCCTGCCTCAACACTTATTTTTGCAAAACCTCTACGAAGTGTTCAATATTTAAAGAAACACTTACTCCTCTTATTTCGATTTCCACTCAAACTGTTTTATTGCTGTTTTTCTTGATGCACAACAATATGTACGTTGTGTAAAGAGTGAATCCGTAGGTTTATACTAGGGATGCTCCGATCGCCACTTTTGGGGCCGATCACCGGAATCAGTATCGGCCGATCCGATCATAG